TTTCTAAAAAAAAAAAAAAAAAGATACACCACTATGTGTCCTTGCTTTTTATAGCTACAACTGCAGCGTAGGAGCTTGTTTTGTCGTTTGCTGACATAAAACCAACTTATTTTCATTCTGCTTACCAATGAGGATGAGCACCACGCTGGCAGCTCCATAGTGCTCCACCTCCCTGATCCAGTGGGGAACAGATTCGAATGTGGTGCGGCGTGTGATGTCATACGCCACCATGGCCCCATGGGCACTGCGGTAGTAGCTCTGAGTTATGGTGCGAAAGCGCTCCTGTCCCGCCGTGTCCCACACCTGCATCTGCAAGTCAATACCATACTATTACGAGCTACTCGCGCATGCTGACGTTCTCATTGAGCAATGCTCGTGTGTACACAACCAAAAACTAATCAGCATAACGAGACATCCAAGCAGTTACCAAATCAACACACCCAGAAAGCTAACACACAGATGAAATCATTTGCCACTCCTCTTTCTCTCAAGGAACAAAAACTTTTATTAACTGCAACAAGCAGCAGGGATTATTTACTTTAAGACCACAGTGAGAACATAGACACATCTCCATGTTGATTTAATATATTACAGTATACCCATAATAAAATCAAATGGTCCCTAATGTGGCAATGATTGATTGTTATGAGCATGAATAAAGGAACAAACTTACACATGATGAAATAAGAGTTAAAAGAAGAACAGGGTCACCTACCTTCACCTTCTTGCCATCGATTTCCAGGGTACGAACAGTAAAGTCGACCCCGATGGTGTTTTGCTGCTTCTCCATGAATATGCCAGACTTGAAGCTCTGGACCACACAGGTCTTCCCCACATCTGAGTCCCCAACCAGGATGATTTTAAAGAGAAAGTCGAAGGAGTCCTCAATCTCTGGGCCTGCAGACTGCATGGTGAAGGGAGGAATATTTACACAAAAACACACACACTGAGGCTGAAACTATATCCAAGACCTCTGTGCCCTCTATGCAACAGAACTGGTTCCTTCCAAGTTGTGTAAATAATAACTGAGACTATTTACAGAAACAGCAGTCACAACCTTGTCAGAAAAAGGGGCAAATCATGTTTACACCAGCTGTAGTGCACCCATACGGTTCCAGCTGACTGTGTGTGATCCAGAGATAAAGTCGTCCCAGTCAGAGGTTAAAAATTATCTTTTAAATGCAGTTTTTATTCTAACAGCTCGTGTCTTCTGCCATTTTTCACCTAATTCACAGACTCAACTCAGCAACCAACAGAAATCAACTCTAAAATCAACGTAATGACCCCATAGCAGAGTAAAAGTAAGGATCCAAAAGTTATGTTTCGTCATCCTGTACTTCCTTCCATGTCTGTGTTACACTATCGGCCACATTCTTCAAGTCTTAAAACACAACTGCAGTTCTGCCCTTCAGACTGTCACTCTCTGTGCCCTCTACACCTCTCCCCACTCACTTTCATTCTGGGCTTATAAAGAAACGCCTCCTACCTGTCTCGGTAGGTGTGATCTCCAACTGCCAGCCCACCTGCACCACTGCATCTTGGGATATGGATTTTCTATTCAGGCTCTGTAATAGGACACAATACCTGGAAGGGGCAGAAATAACACATCGTTCATTACCAAAAGTACTGACTCAGGCATTAAGATTACACATATTGAGCTCTATTTGGTTTTATAACTAACTGGTTAAAGAGCTGGAGGCTGACATTGAACAGAGCCATGTTTCTTTATATAGACAGCTCTTGCTAACAAGGCTCAGTGTGCAAATACCCCAGAGCAAACAGCTTAAACGACTCCTGCGATTTAACTATTCTTGACAGAATGTAAACACTTCACGTCTTTGTCTTAACAGCAGTTCTTTGGACCCTGAATGGGTTGGTTTTTTTTTGTCCACTTACAAATGCCTTTCATTATTAGCCCCCCTCCCTCGCTGACTACTGTCAACTAACACATTCCAGAGCAGACTACAGACACGGCAGACAGACTGAAAGGATGTAGTTAAAGACTGGTTAATCTAACAAAGTGTAATTGAAATATATTTTACCTCAGGCTGCATACACAGTGAGATGTTAACACAGAATGAACACACTGCTCTGAATCTGAATCAGTCTCTCCCTCCCTCTCTCCACCCCCTCACTCGTTTCTGTCGTCATCTCAGCCCATAGAAGAACAAGGCACAGCTGGACGCAGAACAATGTGTGAGTGTGAGGGGCACTTGACCGAGCTGGGTCTATCTTTGGCTGTGACCACCAACCACCTTCTTTCTGTAGTGTGGTTGTCTCTGGTTGATGCCTTATTAAATGCAATAAAAGGCAGCTTTGTTGACCACTTAGTGGTGGCACAAATAAGACAAGCACACGAGGGGAAAAGACAATGAATGTGCCTCTTTTATATCAAATAGTTCAATTTATAATACAACATAGAGTCCATATGTATGGTATGGAAGTTGACACACAAGTATCAGAACAAACTATAAACATCTTTGACAAGTCATGTAAAAATTCTAAATCCCAAATATTAATACATCCTTACATATAAACTAATCTGAGCTAGTTAATCATTACAAAATCAATCCAGTGTACAACAAAAAATAACTATAACTAAAATATACATATGGTAGCATGTCTAATTACCACAACCATATTAGATAACAGCAATACATCAGTGATTCAGCAGAGTCTCTGTGCTGTGGTGGTGCGGATGAGTCGTGCTGAAATCATAATTGAGCCGTAGCTAAGCTACTGTATCAGTCACAGACGTCAATCTGCTGTGTCATCTCCTCTGCACCAACTGTCCTGTAGAGTTTTTCAGTCTAAAAGAAGTGCTGAGGCTCTGCTGGCATTTCCGTTGTTTCTGAGGTTTCTTGCCAGACGTCTTGTTCATCGGCGGTTCTGGAGGAGGGACGGGAATCGGTTTCCAGGGGATTGGATTGTAGAAGCTGGGTGGTGGGTAGGATTTGTCGTAGGGACCTTGAAGAAATCAAACCAATACTGATACATTACACATATCCAATGAAACTAATGAGCTACAATCACATTTAATGGAGTCTGAAACCAACAGTTTTATTGCTACTGCTCCTGGATGACGAATTGCATGAAACAGATTTTAAATTGTTCAATTAATCCAAAAACGAAACATAAAACATAGTTAATAATTCCCAGATGTCTGAAATGACTTACTTGTTGGGTAGCAAGGTGATTTGGGACTCGCTCTGCATTTTTCATTGGCTTTTGCCACCCATTCCTTAAACCTCTCCTCTGCCCTCGTGCGGCGCTCTTTCTCCTGCTGCTCCTTCAGGGCAGCTTCCTCCTGACAAGAAAAAAGGACCTTTCAGAATCTGGCAGGAATAACATTTAACTTATTCTTATTAAAAGCAGAATGACTTTAAAAAGATCCACATTACTTTCTCCTTCTTTTCCTTTTCCATTTTTTCTTGGTTCTTCTTCTGCAGCCAGTTTTTGTACTTTTGCTGAGCTTTCTCTTCAATCTCCCTCTGTTTTTCCTGCTGCCTCTGTATCTCCTCCTCTTTGCTCTGGTTTACAAGTTGCTTGTACTTTTCCTGGGATTGCAAGAAGAAAACAAATAATAGACATGTCAGCATTGGACTGTTTGAGATCACTGGGGCAAAAGTCTGACCAATTACAGTCAATCTGCTATGGTGCTTTGTGTGGTTTGAGTTTAAAAGGAGCAGCTGTCTACCTGTTCTCTTTTCATCTTTAGCCATTCTTGGATCCTCTCTTCCATGACAAGCTTTTTCCGTTCCTGCTGCCTTTCTTCTCTTTCTTTCTTTTCCTTCAGTATCCGCTCCTAATTCAAAGAATGTAAAAGACAGGATGAGACTCAGAGAGGATGCAATAAGACATTTGGGAGAAAAAATATTTATGAATAAGAGGGGGGAAACTATGACTAGCCTTGTACAGAAAGCAAAGGAAAGTAAGCACTGCTGCAGTTATACAGCGCCATAAATAATAATTCAACTTGCCTCCTCTGCTTTCTTTTCCAATTTGAGACGTTCTTCCTTGGCTTTGGTCACCAGCCACATTTCCCATGCACTGAGATTAGGTGAGCCTGCAGACTCCACAGCTGCAGTCACCATCTGCTCTGAACGTGTTCTTGGTAGCTCACATCTGAAACAAAAACAGATCGAAAGTTATACATATTCTACTCTATTCTACTGTCACATTTTGTCTCTATGAATAATGCCCTCAATGGTGTTTGACTCAGTTCATAAGCAGGGTTCCCACTCTTTTTAAGAAATCATTTTCCAGTTTTCTTGAAAATACAGGACAGCACTTACTTACAAATAGTTATATAATTTACTGGTAGATATAGTATTGACGCATTTAACCCCAGTTTTCCTCCTTTGTTAATGATGCAGGTTCATGATGAAGTGTCTCAGGTTCATGACAGGTAGGTGGTCAGTGTGTTTGAGACACCACATTAATTCACTTGCTGGTTTTTCCAGTTTTCCTGTAACATTACTTCGGCCACAGCCTGAAAGTAACAGCTCAAATTAAGCAGAATGTATTTAATTTTACATAAAATGAATCTTCTTACCTGTTATCCTATTAAAAGAAGCAGAAAGTGGTTGTTGCACCTACAATTAATACTGTGCACGTCTTAATACATTAAAAAATATAGTTATTTCCAGGATACTTGGACATTTTAACCAATCTTCCAGCTGTTTTCCTGACTGTGTGTGGGAACCTGAGGACCTCAAACTCAGCAGTACCTGAGCGGTGAGTCGTCGCTCTGCTGAGCCCGGCCGCCCTCCACATCCTCATCGCTGTCAAAACTATCATGATAGATGGGAGAAAGCAGAGAAAACGTGTCCTCTTCGTCGGAGAGGACACCGTCGTCCAAGCCCCTGGAGGTGTGCACGTCTTTCCCCAGGCTGGTTTTAACAGGAGTCGAGCTGAAGCCATCGGACGCGGACGCAGGACAGGTCGGCATCTTCCCTCCGGACATTACAAACCGACGTCTGCTTGGGAGATAAAAACACACACACAACGTCGGCACATGAGTTTTAAGTTATGCGTGAGTTTGGGGCCGTTATCTGTAACACAAACGTCCCATAAACCTTCAGGCACAATAAAGAAAAACAAGTTGTTTACACGGTTAGCGAAGTTGGGGCTAGCGCTGGTTAGCTGGTTTAGATTTGGCGTTTAATGCAGGTTTAATGCTGAACATGTGCTCCCTCCGCGGTGTACGCGGTGCGCACTGCTCCCAGCTAACTATAAAACAACTCTGAACATTTAGTGAGCTACCTTTGTGCGTATATTTGAAGAAAAGTCTCGCTGTAGTCCTCGTCTCGTTCACCGACGCTGCGACTGATCCGCTAACGACTCCTTTTCCCATGATACACCGCGGCCCCACGCTCAACTGGACGCTGTTTCTGTAACCATGGCGATGCCCGACGCTACGCTGTTTCTGTAGCCATGGCGATGCTCGACGTTACGCTGTTTCTGTAGCCATGGCGATGCTCGACGTTACGCTGTTTTGTTTTTTTTGCGAAAGAAAAAAAACAAACTGATAAGTTGAAGAGACAAACGTCAATCAATCAATCAATCAATCAATCAATCAATCAATCAATCAGACACATAAATACCCAAAGTGTCTTTGTAATCATTTAAAACACGAACTAAGGAAACGCTGTCTCATTAAACAGGGGAAAATGACAACTTAAAATAGGAAAAAAGGCTCATAATACATCTGAATGAAAAGTATAAATAGTAGTATAAAAAGTAATACAACTGGTTAAAATGTTTAAATAAATAGACACAGCATCAGAATAATAAAAAATACATCAAAAAGTACAATTATCTGCTAAAAACATATTAATAATGATTAATAATAAATATACGCCACCCCATAGCTAAATAAATGATACAAATAAGTAACGTTAATGCTATAAAAAATATTAATATTATTTTTTATTATTAAATTATTATTTATTATTTTTTAATTAATATACATGTTATATTATCCCACACTTCCTATCCAGTATGTTATCTTATATTGGTACTTTTATGTTGTTATTTACATCTTAATATGACTTAGGTTTGGAGTTATATATAGACAATTACAATAAATCTTTTTTTACATTTTGAATCTCTTAATTTTAAGATTTCTTACAATTTTACCTCGAATTAGGGATGTTTTCACTGACTTTCTACTGAAATATACACATTTTAAACATCTGAGGAGAATATTTAGACCCACAGAAAATAATCTTGTTTTATATTCTTAATTTTAGTGATAAAGATTTTGGTCACACTGAACATTTCTGAGTAAAAAAATGTAAAATAAACCATTTAGATTATATTTGTTGTTCATATTTCTATGTGAACAGGTACTCTTATATTCTAGTGTTATTCTGGTCAGTGCTTCCTTGCTGTGTGTTTTGTTGCTTGTGCTCCGGACAATATGTTTACACCCTTACTGTAATAACAGGCAGTTGTTGTCCGTAGCAGGTCTGATCCAGTTGAAGTCAACCTGTCCGTGCACTCTGTCTCACTCCCACTTAACATTATCAGTCTAATTACCAGCCGGCCCTTCCAAAATGTGCTTGTATACCGAAGGGCTGCTTTCACAAAGAGATGTGGCATTTTGTGAGTGTTTGTAAGCAGCGGTAAATTAATTTGTGTCTTGTTTTATGTGTTTTAATGCTGAAGCCCACTGCCTATGGGCGACATGGTGTGTTCTTGTTGTTGTTTACCATTTTTAAATTAATTTTTAGTATTTTAGACAGACAACAGACAGGGTTTAACATAGGTAAGATAAAATGCTTGACATTGTATAAAAAAGGAACTAAAAAAGACATTGTAGTATAAAATTTATTTTGTCCATTGAAATCATAGAGGCCCTTATGATCTGTAAAGCCAGGGGATTTTTGGTTACTCAATTATAACCAATCATCCTTAATGTACTTTATATCACTGGATTGGAAAAGATGGAGCTAATTTTACTGTATGTATAATATGTATAAAAATACATAATAATTATTACTATTAGTTATATTTATTTGCTGATTATATTTTGTTTTAATAATCTGAATTTACAACTAAAAAGCTGTCAAATGAAGTCAAGTAAAAAGTGTAATATTTTCCTGTTGTCGAGTATAAAGTAACATAAAATGGAATTACTCAAGTAAAAAATACCTCAAAAGTTCAGTACTTAATCTACTTAATTACTTTCGTCCACTACTCTGTATAAGTCATTAATTAAACAAACACTGACCACATGTCTGTATCCTGTTGGTAATTATAGAAATATTTCTGGGTCACTCTCTACATCACCCCCATCCATCAACTCCTCCTGGATACAATTTTGCATAATGTGTCAGATCCCTGTGAGGCGTCCACAGTTCTGAGTAAGATGATGACACAGGGGGATAATCAGCCACCAGCACGTGCAGAATGCAGGTAGGTGTGTCTGATGCTACGTGTCTCCAGTCCAGCTCCAGTCACACCAACGTGAAGGATTCCAGCTCTGACCTCTGCTGCTCCTATCCTTGAAGGGGCCTTCAGAGCTCTGTGTGTGGTTCAGTCAAGCAGTCCAGCAACCAGTTCTCTGGGGAAGGTGGTAGGTTGATGGGGGACATCCAGAGGCTGCCGGAGGGCAGAAGCCGACTGCGCCGACTCTCCCGGACCCCTTGTCCAGACCAGGGACCACCAAGGAAGTCACGCAAGAAGCTCCAAGTTATCATCTGTGTACTGCTTGTGGAGCTGTGTGAAAGATTCACTTTCTTTGGGATTGTATGCAACATGATTCTCTTCTGCACTGTGAAGCTGGGCTATGATAACTACCTGGCTGCGACAGTCAACCTGTGCTTCATAGGAGCCAGCACCCTGACCCCCGTTCTGGTTCGGTGGTTCTCAGAAACCTGCTTGGGAAGGAGCAAGGTGCTCTACTTGTGTGCTTTCCTTCATTTCTTTGGTAAGAAACAATGAGTTAAAGGTTGATGAAATGTTGTCTAATGCAGTGGTTCCCAACCTTTTTCCTTAAGGGACCCCTTTTCTATCATTTAGTAAATTGAAGTGACATATTTTATGGATATTTATTATATTCAAAACTGTACAATTAACCCAAATACAGTGAACTCATCGTAAAGCAGGAAATTTTGTGTAAAACTTTGAGTTTTGAGCACTGTTTAGGCAACTTTTTATACAATTCTCTTTTTATTTTAAACAATCATACATACTTAATAGACTTATTTCTTCAAATTCACAGTTTTCTTGTCCTTGCCGCTTGGCCATTATTCTATCAGACAAGTGACTTTACTTTGCATTTACTTTTCTTCATAGAAGTGAACCAAACGCTGACATATAGGCCTACAAGTTTTCTTACACCCCTTAAAGTCAAGAAGGCCTTGCAATCCCATATGAAGTGTTAGAGACCCTTAGTGGAGTTCCCAACCTCCAAGTTGGGAACCATTGGTCTAATGTCATCAAATTTCTATATATTTTTTAATTCTGTAAAAATATCAAACAATATTTTATGATATTTTCTCACTTTTCTTTAATTCAATTTTGACTTTTTTTTCAAAGCCAAGAAAAGGAAGTAAATTTGGTTGGCTGGGAGGGATAGGGTTCAAATCTGCCAGTTTAAAATACATGATATTTATCTGAATGTGTGAAATGAACAAGGAAATGGCACATTCATCTGACATAGTGGTCATTATGATTCTTTACTGTAAGCTCATTTCAAGAGCCTTAGTAATTCTGTTTAGGTGCTTAGTCATGGCCCTGCTTCCGTGAAGTCACACTCTAGTTCGAAATCTAGCTGTAAATGACTTCCACCTGTCAACATACTTTCAAGGCACAGCCATGCTGCCGGTGGTGGCGTTCCCATTTGAAGATTTCTACATAGACACTCATCACATGACGCACCAGCTGGAGCATCGGGAGCAACAGATCTTGTTCTACACCGGCCTCCTGGCTGCTGCGCTGGGCATTGGCGGCATCCGGGCCATCCTCTGTCCCATGGGGGCCTACAGCCTACAAACCTACAATCAGCATCAGCTCCTGTCCTTCTTCAACTGGTGGGTGGTGGTTGCCTGAATCTGAATACAGTCACTCACTTAGTCCAGTCCGTTAATATTGTTACCATGTTGTGTTTAATCATCATTTGAGAGGTTCTTTACACTTTTACAGTTCAGTTATTCTGCATGGAGATAATATAAATCAGAACATTGGACCAAAAAAGGCCAAATTGCCATCCCTAGAGTGGCTCAAAAATCTACTCATATATTATTCTGTGTCATCTACAATCACATGCTAATGAAATGAAGAACTTGTGTGTGTGATATTTGTTTTATTTATGTTTAGGTTCTACTGGCTGGTCAACTTGAATTCTACCGTGGTGTTTCTGGGCATTGCTTACATCCAGCAGTCTGTGGCCAAAAATCTGGCCTTCCTCATCCCCTTCACCTCTGTGCTGCTTGCTCTAATCGCCATACACATGATGCGGAACAAACTCACCTATAAACCCAATAGAGGTACAATGCATGAAAAAAAAGACATAAAAACAGGTATTCAGACAATACTTGTAAATATACATGAACCATCTTGTGTCTGTCATAGGTGGATTGTTACTGACCACACTGGGAGTTTTCCTGAACTCTCTCAAGATGTGCTGCCTCCACTATCGCCATCTGAGTGGAGATGTAACATCTTGGCTGGACCGGGCCAAGGAGAACAATGGTGGCCGTTACAGCGAAACACATGTAGAGAACGTCAAAGTCCTGGCCAAGCTCTTCCCTCTTCACGGGCTTCAGCTGCTGTACAGAGCCTGCGTCACACAGGCAAGTCACTGGGAATATAATCGGTCTTTATAAAGCATGAAAAAGGATCATTTCCATGAAGAACATGTTTCCTACAGATTCCCTCAGGTTACTACATACAGACGATGAACTCAAACCTCCATCTGAATGACCTCCTGTTGCCCATCGGTGCCATGAATGTGATCAGCATCCTACCTCTGCTGCTCTTAGCCCCGCTGATCGAGTGTGTGATGACTTGCTACCTCTCCATGGAAAAAACTCCTCTGGCACCTGCAAAAGTCATCAGTGAGTATTTCTATGTGCAGATCCCTTACTAATGCACATATAATTGTAATGTGTTCACCTAACATACCTATGTCTCTCTCGCTCATCTGCCTCTCTCATCCTCCCTCTTTCCTCCTGTAATTATTCTGCAGCCCCCTCTCTCATCACCCCTCCCCTGTCCATCCTCCCCTTCCAGCTCTGGGCCATGCGTGTGCCACTCTGTCAGTCCTGGTGGCAGGTTTGTCTGAGCTATATAGGAAGACATACCCTCTGGTGGAGCAGACTCTGTCTGGAAAAGTTCTGCAAGTGTCGGCCATGCCGTGTTTCCAGCTGGCTCCTCAGTACATCCTACTCGGTCTCGCAGAGGCTCTCGTCACCCCTGCATGTGAGTAACCGACTCCAGTATTTATTCCTTTATCTTACATGGTGCATCTTTCCTAAAATGTTGACACTTTCCCCTGGTCAGAGATGTCACAAATACGCAGCAGGAAAGACAATCAAACATTTCTGCTGTCACTTTCTCTCTGGCAGGTTCCCTGATTTCTTTCCAGCTGACCCCGAGCCACATCAGAGGGATCTCCCTGCACTTCCTCACTCTGTCCTATGGAGGGGGCTGCTTCCTCGGAGCTTTCATTATTCAGCTGGTGTACTTCATCTCTGGAGGTAAAATGAATACAAATACAAACAAAACAAAACAAATTATAGTGACACTGGAAAGTGATTAAAAATCAAGATGTCTGATATGACCACAGTGATACTCGATTACAGGTAACTTCTACCCAAACACACTGCATGATGGGAATCTTGAGAGATTCTTCTTCCTCCTGGCCACACTGATGGCTATAAACACCCTTGTCTGTTGGAGGGTATCTTACAGGTACAGCATTACCTCTAACTACCAGTACTATTAAGTGGAATACAAGTTACAATTAGATTATTTTTAATTGCACATAAAATAAACACTTTTATGTATGGATAGCAGTGTGTGACCCATTGTCAGGTCCATTACAGTCCATTGTGGTATTTTCAACAGACATTTTGTGGGGAATTTCAGCAGGCATGTGTGTTTCCATAGTAGTTTAATATAATAAACCACTGTTAAATGGTATAAACATATCCTTTCTCTTGCTTTAAAAGGTTGTGTATCACGGCCCTAAGTGTGTTTTCTTGTCTCCCTGATGTTGTCCAGGTACATAGACCTGAGTGTGCAGGGTAAAGCAGTAACCATCAGCCCTCTGACTGAGAAACTGCTGCATTACAAGGCCTGTCTGCGCTTCTACGACACTGTGGATCGCTCCTACACAAACACCTCCATTGAATCTATTTTATGACTGTCTTTATTGTGATCTTTGTCAGCGGTGCTGGCGTGCATGTCATGTCAAAATCTCAAACTCGGGAAATTGTGGGCTGAATTGTATGAAATACATGGAATTTAAATATTTTTGTTGTTTTTATAGTAACTGCATATACCATTTCACTTACTGAATGTCCTATTATGTTCTTCTTCTTTTGTAGCATGGGCTGTGATTTATGTAAATAATAGCAGAAATGATAAATTATAGACATATCAATAGCAAAGCTTCCTTTATTTGAGTTGATTAAATTAAAGTAAAGTCAGTCGACTGTTGATTTTCTGATGATTAAAAACACAGAATATGTAGAACACTAGTTACAATCATCAAGGATTAAAACACATAAAAGTCTTAAAGACTTATTTCCACTGCAGTTCTCCAACATACAACAAAAGACACAACTACACTATAACACCATGTGGCACAGCCTACATGTAAACTCAACATCTCTCATCATAGCATAAATCAGACTACAACTTACTAAAAAACTTCAAGTTCACAGTTGATGTGAGGCTTGAATAAGGATTATTCCATTGTAAAGCATAACGCACAGAATAAAGTTTTCAACCAGCAAAGTTTCAAATGAAACAATATAAAGTTTGTTGGATTAGCTCGTAATAAAAAGAAAAAAGATATTTTTTTGAACCCTCTTCTTAACTGTTTCAAGCTTTCTAAGTTAGACTCAACATGTGTAAACGGATGAAGTTTAAAGATTATCTTCTGTTTTGTGTCTGTTAGAGTTTATTATCATTGCTATGAACACTGGCCTTAAATTTGGTAAATAACAATAAAATGTAATTAGCCATTTCTGAAAAGCTCTTCAGAAAGATATTTTGATGCGCTTTTTAGCAACATTTAAGAGGAAAAAAAGCCAAAATATAATAAAAGAACTTTCATTTTCCACTTTTTGATTCATAATCAAGATTCTCAATCAGTCCAAAATCATCCATATATGTTGCCTAATTTCTGCATACATATCTCTCACGCACACACACTACTTTTTTCTATCCTTAAGTCATAAATGGCAGCCAGTCTTGCAGCTACCGTCTTTAATGTGGACTGGCTCAGATGTTGCATATTCTCAGTGTTGAACCTAAATCAACAGAAAAACCAGGATATAGAGGTTCAGTGAAGGTGGTCTGGATTTGGTGCAGCAGCGTCAACGTCTCAGTGTCAGAAACATTGTAGAAGGCCAGTCTTCCTTCTTCAAAATCAAGGTGTACGCCTACTCTGCGGGAGCGAGCTGGAGGAATTTGGCCTTTGTGAAGATTATTGTGCCAAAACCTGCAGCCGGACGAAGAGCACGTTAATTTCCAGGAGAGACCATTGTGGCCAAAACAGCACTCTTTGCCCAAACCCTTTCTTTTAATGCCTTTGTATGACACGGCCAAATCGACAACGCCACCGTCCCACTCCACCTCCCAGTAGTGGCTCCCTTCAAGGCCCTTTTGGCACAGAGCCTGGTGATTGAAGGTGAATCTGTCAGGGTTATCAGGGTGAGCCTGGTCCCTGCCACCCCACGATATCTCTCTGTTTCCATCAGACAAGCAAAGACATGCTGCTACTGTGTTGGGATCCACCTCTATTTTGGAGCCTGCAGGAACATAAGAAACATTTAAAAGCTTTCATGTATATTTGTGCTGGTATTTATGCAAAATTAATTAACCTTGTGCTTAATCTTACGTTTGGTGAACAGGTCTGTCCTTGATGTTATTTCCTTACGTAGCGTTGGCTGTTTTGACACTGTTATGAAAAAAAAAATATATGAAAAATATATGAAATTTCCTCATTCTCTCTGTACAACAACAGGAAATATACTAAGCAGACCAGACGGGTATCAACAAGGTTTAGAGATCAAAACTGGACAAACTTACACATATTTTCTTCAGAATGAGCGACTAATTCATTCTTTCCTTTGTTGCACACATTTTTCAGTTTATCTTTCTGTGCAGTGACAAACTCTGTCAGCGTGTCAGGTCTTTCCTGCGAGTCTGTGAATGCAGGGAGGTCACCCAGGGCCTGGAAACCCTGCACAAAGCCAATAAATACATTGTGTGATTAAAAATACCCAACATTTAAATTAAATTTAGAGGCATAAAGATTAAAAATGGCATACACTTTCAAAGACTCTATAACTGAAGGGCTAGAAAACATGTCCTCACCTGAAAGAACTGAATGAGGTCCTCTGTTTGTGAAAGCTGGTTGAGTTTATCCTCTCTCCTCCTCAGCTCAAGCACTTCACGCGTCAGTTGCCCGAGACGACTGTCGGTCCAGTCCACTCCAGCTTTCTCTGCTTCTCCAACTTTCTCTCTCATCTGAGAGCACTTCTTCTCCACAAAAAGGGTGTAGAAACGAATGTGTTCAGCACACCGTCGCTCAAAGTCGTCACACGCCTCCCACGCGGCATTCTTGTAAGAAACATGCACCGTTTGTCCAGTTACGACGGGTGATGAAGGAAAGTTCTACGGCATTCATTCTCTGTATGTATTTGTTCATGTTTAACAGAGGCTTTAACCTGAGCTAGGCCATACAGCAGTTATAGCAAACATACAGGCTAAGTAGTATAAAAAAGTATATATTTGTTTATTTTTGAATGCATTTGTACTGGATTACTAACTAATGCACTAATGTGCAAAGAAAGGAAGGAAAACAATTGCCTAACACAGTTTACACCCATTTCCTCTTTGTAGGGCAGCTTTGCCTGTTAACAGGAGTTACTAGGATCTTTGTCTTATATCAATATTTAAAAATAATAAAAACATTTACTGATGAATACAGGAAATACTTATTCGTATGGATGTCACGCACTTTTATAGAGTCTGCAGCCTGCCTCAGCTCTGCCATCTTCCTCTCTGAATTCATCACTCTGTCTGCGATTTCTTGTTTATTCCTCTCCAGTTGTCTCTGTTGAAACACAAATCCAGAAGCTTTTCAGAACCTGTTACATTAAAAGGACAGGACCACAAATCACTTCAGCGTGGGACTTACCTGCATTTCACCCCGCTGTACTGCAACTGCCACAGTGTCGTGGCCTTTGTGCTCATCCATCAGACACAGCAGGCATATGAACTGCTGATCAGTGTGGCAGTAAACCTCCAGAAGTTTGTCATGACGGCCACATATGCTGTCTTTGATCCTAGCGGAGGCTTGAATCAGTTTGTGTTTTTTTAATGGTGGCACCTCAAAGTGAGGCTTCAGATGAGTCTCACAGTAAGAGGCCAAGCACATGAGACAGAACATGGAAGCTTTTCTTTTTCTCCCCGTGCAAGCGTCACACTGCACATCACCTGGTGCAGTGTAGGTGTCACCAGCTGCAGCACCGGTTGCCCTCCTGTGTTCCTCCAACAGATCAGCCAGAAGTGTGTTCCTCTTCAGATCAGGCCTCGGGTGGAAAGTCTGCCTGCACTGAGGGCAGCTATAACTTCTTCCTCTGTTATTATTCCTATCCCAGAAGGCATTTAGGCATTTTATACAGTAACTGTGTCCACAGGCTGTCGTCACTGGATCCTCCAGTAACTGTAAACATATGGAGCAGTCGAACAGTTCCTGAGTGTTAGCCATTTTCTCCCGCTCAGACTGACGGAGTTACTTTCATTCTCTCTGAAGGAGGAGTGGCTTGTTGGCAGCCTATGGCACAAACACTGACTGTGCTGTCTGTGTGAGTGTCTACGGGAGAGGATAAGGACCACAATTTATTTGAGTTCATAATTCTAACTTTATTCTCGGACTTCATTCTGTTTTTCTTTTACTTTAAACTCAGAACTCAATTCAAAGTTTCAAACGTGGCTCTATGTCAGTGGGAAACAAAGTAGGCTACATAACATTATCAAAGTTAAACATTAACTGGAAGAGTCAAAGTACTCAACTTTAGTTAATTACACACTGGAGACCTTTAAAACATATTTAAAGTTACTCTAATGAATATTTTTATATAACCAAGGGATATCCAGTGGTGTTGTGCAGGGTATGCTTATATTTTTAAATTTCCATTGGGTATATCCACTTCTAAATCCCCTCTGATGTAGGCTACACCATTCAGCAGTGTTCTGCAAGCTTAAATTATTTTCCTAGGATGGTGAAGGCATGACATAGTTGTCCAATTTTGTGGAGTGGGTAGAGTAAGGAACAAGAAATACTCAAAATGCATAATTATGTTGTTTTCCCACTCGTCCTTTTTTAAGGGTTTTTATCTTTATTGAATATGGAAAAACAATGACAGAGTGTTTTAAGGTTTTATTTACTAGAAAACATATATCTAGCTGAGTGAGACTTCTGTTAGTTATTAAATTTTTTATACACAATTATTCTTGTTATTAACTCAAATACTCACTTTAACAGTAACAAGTTTACAGTAAAAACTGAAACTGAACATACACACAAAACATTTGTGCCATTATCATCTTCAGCCCTTTTCCTTGCAAAGAAATATGTAATTTTAAAGAACATAATCAAACTTTAAAGAACCTTATTCAAACTTTAAGTATAATGAGAAATGTTCAGCAGACACTACTTTTGAACACCCCTGTGAAGCACTACTGTTTAACACACTGTAATACAGATGCCCGTTACTTTGGTGACAATATCCTAACAGAGGCCCCTCTGGAGACCATGAACCCAGGGTACAGAGGCTGGGAGAATGTGGTCTGAACTCTGTGAAGGAGCATCATTTGACCAGAATCAGACACGCTGTAGAAGCACAGGCTCCCTACCTTATGATTCAGATACACTCCAACAATGGAGGAGCAAGGGGTGGATATTTTGGTTTTGCCTTCACCGTGCCAAAAGGTGCAACCATGATTTGAAAGGGAAATGCACCAGGACTGGTCTGTGTATCCAAAGCCATTTTCTAATAGCTCTGCCCCTTTATAGCACACAGCGACCTCCACCCTGGGCCCCTGCCAGTCAACCTCCCAGTAGCAAACTCCAGATAAACCTTCAGTGCACAACACTTGATCGTATTCGGTAAATCTCTCTGGGTGGTTTGGATACCCCTGGGCTTTTTTAACCCAGGTTACTTTGCGGTTTCCCTCAGAGAGCAATAGGTTTACAGATGCCGTGTTGGGATCCAAAGTGAGGTGGCAGGAATCTGAAATGTAGAATTTATTATTATTCAATGTGACAACATAAGTACTTTTTAGAATCACAGTGGCAAATTCAAAGATATTCAGGCTTCAATGATGACTCACAGAGGGAGAACTCCTGTCCTGTCTTGGGATCAGGATCAGCTTGAACTAAAAACAGAAAACATGACATTTTAGTAAATTTACTATGTATACAATATCACATAATTACAAATAAAAACAACATTATTTTAATAAAGGTGTTTTCTTACTTTCCTCTGACATTTCTGCAATAGTTTTTGCCAAGTTTTCCATTTTGTCTCTCAAGTTAGAAATGGCCTTTGTCACAAAGTCAAAAGGTGCATGCAGATGGATGTTGAAATCAGCGGACACATCAGGTTCTGGACAGTCAAAGATGGACTGGCAGCTCTAGAAACACGTGAAAGAGAAACATGAACATGAACTACACCTACTTACTGAGGTACTCATCTTTTGGAAACATTGGAACAAATGTGTTTTAATCCCTTTGGACTTTGATGATTTTATAAATCTATGTTGTTGTCCATGTATTGTATTTTTATGCTTTTATGTTAATATGTGTCTGAAATAAAGTTAAACTGAATTGAACTGTCAGTGTACCTGCAGGAAATGAATGTGGTCCTCAGTGAGTGACAGTTGCTTCAATTTACACTCCCCCTTTTTCAGGTCAGAGACCTCCTTCTCCAGCCGATCCATGAGTGCCTCAGCTCGGCTCACCACAGCCATCTCCTGAACTCTGATCAGCTCATTCACAGCACAGCGCCTTTTATCGGCCATCAGGACAAATTCAGCGTAGGCCTTTTCATTCTGATCAACCGCTGCAGCCCCAGAACCCTACGGCAAAAAACACAAATAACGTCACTTTAAAGGAAAGGCACACATTAGATGCATTTAAGTCTGGTGAAAGTTGAATTCACCTGCAGTGCTTTCACTTTCTGTCTCAGCTGCTGCAGCTGTTTCTCTTTCTCCTGTATTCCATGCTGGTATCTTTGTTTCTTCTTTCCAAATTGTTTCTGAAAATAAAACCATTTGTCAGTCTCTCAAGGAAGTTTTAATGTTGCAACAATTAAAACCTGTGCAACCTTGCAATTTTGTCCAATCAACGCAACTTTGACCATCACTGTAGTTTACCATCACAGCAGCCCGGCACAAGAAATGTTGAGCCACATGTCACCGAGCTGCTAGCGATTTTATTCTCACTAGAACTCACAGAATGTTTCCTTAGATTTTGCAAAAACATGGCAACATGCATCGTCATTTTTTAGAAAAGCTGCAATTAAATCAGGCATTTTATGGCAAAGCTTGCAAAACTGATTAATTTATTTGCTGTTGAATTGTGTTTTGAATCCATTTACAGACATACATTATGATGTAACTTCCTAAATATCCCTACCATAAGTTCAAAACACCATCTAGACCACCACCTTTTGAAGAAATATGAAGAACTTACAAACACTAACTGTGGCCAAAAGTAAATATGTCTTACTTGTTTCTCTTTCCTCTCTGATGCAGCCGAGACAGTGTCATGACCTTTGTGCTCATCCATCACACAAAGCAGGCAAATGCACTGGCCATCGCTGCGACAGTAGACCTCCAGAAGCTTGTCATGCTTGGGGCAGATCTTCTCCTGCATGGAGGCCGAGACTTCCACAAGCTTGTGCCTTTTGAAAGCAGCAGACTCATAGTGGGGCTGCAGGTGAGTCGCACAGTAAGAAGCCAGACACATTAGGCAAGACTTGACAGCCTTCAGCTTCCTCACGCTGCAGAAATCACACTCCACATCCCCAGGGCCGACTTCATCTTTCTCAGGAGGGGCGAGTGCTCCTGCCCCTGACATTTTCTCTGCCAAATCAGCCAGCACTGTGTTCATGTTCAACACGGGCCTAGGGCTGAAAAGCTGTCTGCACTGGGGACAGCTGTAGACACCCTTGCAAACCTCCTGGTCCCAGTAGCCATTCACACAGGCCATACAGTAGCTGTGGCCACAGTGAAGAGTCACAGGGCCCTTCAAAATATCCAAGCATATCGAGCAGGACAAAGAATGTGGCTCTTTACAGCTCTCTGCCATCTTAATCACAGCACTCTCTAACTTTCAGTTTCTCTGAAACCAAAGAGGATTTTCAAACGGGAGGGGTTTCATCTCTTATTGTGCTTTCTCTAATCCTATAACAAGAAAACTCCTCCCACAAACAGAAATCATGTTATTCCACATATAAATCTAAAATAAAAACTGCCAACAAAGTATTTATTTTTTTTAATAGTCTTTAATGTTCCAAAGTTATTGATTTAGTGAAAAATAATTAAAAGTTACATTCAAACTAAACGAGGAGACAGTTTAGTAAACACAGGAACCAACAGAGGGGGAAAAACAAACTACACAAACGAGATTTCCTCCTGCGAGATTTGGAGCGGAACGCGAGATCTCTTCGGTATCCAAGGAGACGACGGCAGCGTTTGGTCTCTGCAGTGAGGAAGAAGAGGCTGTGTGTGTGTTTTCTTCTCCCTCAGGTGATGTCTGCGTTTAGCTGAGAGCATTTCCACACGATGGACCTGCCGGAGACGCTCAGAAGACGTTTAGAAGACTTTTCTCGAAACGTTTTGTTTGACCAGAGTCGGACTCCGCCTTTCACGAAGGAGAACGACTCGTTTTTGCCTCACGGTAACGTCAATGAAAGAGTCAGCGATGTTAACCTTAGATGACCCGAAAGTGTGTTGTTTCTCCAATCCGTGTATGTTTTCTGCTGCTTTGTTTTCTTCAGACAAGCGGGTCCTGTCTAGCCTCCACCTCCAGATGTCTCTGTACTTTAACATGTGGTTCTTCCCCTTGTGGTGGATCAGTGAAACTACAATGCTGCACCTCAAGGTGAGGCCAAAAGAGAGAAAGTGAGATAGGAGGCGAGGAAATAACGTTAAATGCTTAAAATGAACCATTATAATTACAATAAGAGTATGTCAGAATTACTTTTATTTTATTTAAGTGTGTGTATTGCTCTCAATGCACCGAAACAACAAAAACAAGCAGATAACATGGACAACAAGCTTGAGAAGGTACAAATAAACTAATTTGTACATTTATAAATATATTAGGGCTGCACAATTAGTTGAAATTGCAATATGGCCATGTGCAATATGCAAATCGCAGAACTTAAACCTTAAAAAATGGTGGTACCAGTTACCAAAACAGATATTTATGATGATAAAGTAAGAAAAAGTGATCAAATAGTTCTGAAAGGCTGCTACATGTGATAAATCACTGTAATTATAACATCATTTCATTGTAATTGTCAGGTTTAGACCTGGAAACTGGAGAATATTTAATGCCATAGCAGCTCATTTGAATAAATCACTTTAACTGCATTGTTGTAATTCTGATTTCTTCCAGTATCCCGCCCTGCCAGACTACTACAAGTTCATCCTCGTCACTGTGCTCGTCGTGATGACTCTGATCGAGGCCATCAGACTCTTCCTCGGTTACACCGGGAACCTTCAAGAAAAGGTGATGCGTCACTCACACAAACATAAAGATCTAACGACGTACACTAAAGTGCGAGGCAGAGGTTTTAACTCCTGTAACGTCTGTGTGGTTTTTTTGGGGGGGGGGGAAGGTCCCAGAGTTGGCTGGATTTTGGCTGCTGAGCATCCTGCTGCAGTTTCCGCTCATCCTGTTCCAGCTGTTCAACGAAGCCATTCTCATACTGCCGCTGGAGAGGGGGGTCCACATAGTTCTCGCCATATTCATACTCACACAGGTACAATAAGAGACTGTTGTAGTTTTACCACTTCCACTTTGTTGTTCGTGTTTTCTAGATTTCTTAATTTAGTGATTGTCATTGGTTTGATTGACATGTTTTCTTTCCTGGATGATTCAGGCCCTGTCTGGTTTCGTGGCGCTCCGAGACATGGTCAAACACACAGAAAGCCAGTTTCACCTCCGACAGTTTGACTGAATTGTGACGCTCCCGCCACATCTGGACATATTCGTACTTCACACCGCACAGACTTAGAGGCTGACAACAAAAAATAATGTGTCACTTTTTGTATTACATGTTGTATTTTAGGAGGAGATTTCCTCCCCAGGATGGATCATTGAAGAGAGAAACATCTGGATATATTTATTTTTGTATTTTATTAACAATGTATTCCACGGGATTGTATTTTTGTTTTTGTTGGAATAAATAAAATCTACATAAAGCAGCCTGTGTGTCGTTTATTAAGCAGCTGATGTAATGCTTCATAGACTTTATGTTGACGCGCCCTGAGAATCCAAGCATAAAGGTTTCTCATCAGTAAATCTTGTCTTGTTTTTGAAGAGTTTTATTAAAAATGTAATTACATTAAAGGGGACGTATAATGTCTCATCAGTGACATGCTTTACTCTTGAATCACCGTTAGTTGCCACTGAGGTAGCAGCTACTCTTACATACAACGAAACATACATATAAAACAAGACATGTGACGTAAAAAGTCTCAATGAATGCTGACAAGTAAAAAAAAAACACCCTGTTAAATTCCATCTTAGTTCAAGTCTGTTGAGGTTGGGATTATTATTCATGTGTTTTTTTAAGAAGTCTTTTAACACTTGCTTCACTCTGTGCTTCAGTGATCATAGCTGGTAACTTCCACACTGTGATGGCTCTATATATTGATGCGTTGCCTCTTGGCTTATGTGGCTTCCTCTCTCGTGATGGCGCCTGGTGTTCTTAGCCTGGAGCCTAACGAGGGTGTCGCTCTGTGGAGGTGGATGTTCCTTCTTCGTCAGGCCTGAAGGCTTTGACACGGGGGATAAAACACCCACGTGCCTCTTGTCCCCCGAAGTCTCTTTGTGTAGTCTGAGTAAAAATGAGGAAGGTTAGGGAGTAGAGAAGAGCAATGAAAGGCCATGAAAACTATGTAATATGTATAATGCTTGTCAACACACTACAACGACAACCTGAGCGTATAACATTAAGAGAACGGCACAAGAAGAGAGAGTGCTCAAGAGGAATAAACTCAAATTTACGCATTTCTTCTCAGGTCCCTGCTCCTCTTCACGGGCACAAATAAATTGCCGGGGGATTCGGTTTCTCTCAGGGCGACGTCGGGGGTTTGATTTCTCTGGTTCTGCTCTCCAAGTAGTACATCTCTCCACAGGGACGAACCCACTGAATGAATGATAAAAATCAGGTAATAAAGAGGAAGAAGTGAGGTTAGCTGAAAGTCACAAAAAAAAAAAATGCTTTTCTGATACAAAATTAGCTGCACATTAGCTTCAATTTCATACATCAGTATATTGTGTGTGCATACGAAACCTTCTGAGAACTCTTCTTCCTGTTCCACATCCTGCTGTTTGGTCTTTGTTGTGTCTGTGTGAGAGGTGGAGGAATCCTCGGGCACAAAGTAACGCTCTGAGACCCGTGAAGAGGTTCTGTCTCTGGGAATTTGCCAGCTGTTGGACTTATCAGAGGTGAAACTGGACATCAAACCCTTTGTTGGAACAATGTCTGGAATCATCTTGACGTGCATGGATATGGGAGACCTGCGGAAGAAGAGATATAACACTCGGTGAATCTGAACGTAGCTCAACGTGTAGCTGTGTCTTGTTTATACTTAAGGGTACAATGTATATGTGGGGTTTACCTCTGGGGCCGAAAGGAACCTGGCAGCCCTGAAAGGGGGAGACGAGGCAGACTTGAATTGACTGAGAGACGATGAAACTGGAAAAATAAATGAATTCAGTTGCATATGGAACAACTGTACGTGCGGACAAACCTCTGCAGACTTTATTGGAGACCATGGATTGTCGGGGGCAGTGAAGCTGTTGTGGGTTCAGTGAAGGTGGATGGATAGCACTCAGGTACAGCAGCTGAGAGGAGCATCTCCAATGTCCTGCATCCATCCCCATTTCATCTGTGAAAGCAAGAATTATCACTACTAAACAAGACCTTTCCCACTGCATTGATGGTTGGAAATACTTCTGCCTTTATCTCCAGGGAACTATGTATGTATTGGACAATGATATACTTTAAATATGTTTAATGAGTCTCCACCAAATCTCCTAAATCAGTCAAAAAGCAACCAGAACTTATAAAATACGGAAAAGTGATGGTAGTGGTGAATTAGACGCTGGGGGGTTAAGTGTGGACGATTTTTAGAAAAGCTGAGCCTCCAAAATAATAATAATAAAACCTTACCTGTGTGAGGTGTCAGAGCTTTGTATATGCTGTGATGTGGACACGCTTTTGTCCTACAACGCTGGTTTGCAGCTTTCATGTTTTCCAGAATGTGGTCCTAAAACACAGAAGATATCCCAAAATCAAAGTCAAAATTGTACAACCTTTTCATTTTACCCCCTACGTTTTTACACAAATATCTGTACTTTACTCTCAGCTCATTACTTTAGTTTTAATGCTTTTGAGGGAAATAATGGATTCTTCTTATTATTTTTTGCCTCATTGCACGCATGAATATGATATCAGACAGACGTAACAAGACAAAACAGACACAAGAGGGAGACTCAACCCTATTTGAAGTTTCAGTCAGATTTGCACAGAAAGAGCCAGTAGAAATGTCCTTCAGAGAAACCAAGAGAGTACCTTTTACCTTCCAAGTTCTTCTACTTTACTCTTCTACGTCTTTTTTCACACAAGTATCTGTACTTCTACTTGAATAAAGAATGTGTGTACTTTTGCTTATTTGAAACCAGATCATCTGGCTCATCTTTACCTTGACAGGCTCGCAGCCCTGCCACAGAGTCACCTGACTGACCTCCCCAGGCTGAGTGGTGGGAGGAGGGATCGCAGCTTGTCTTGTGGGGCCCTTTACCTTCACAAAGACAGAAATATTAACAGGAACAGTTCAGGAAATGTTCTCATTAAACGTATTCACACTTTCTCTACTTCATACCTGATGTTTTTTCCTGTATCTTTCAACGGGCCTCTCTTGGATGCTCTCATTAACTGTGTTCTCATGGGGCGGGTTGGGCTCCTGCAAAGACCGTTCACTAATCAGTCTTGTTTAAAGTCATTAACACACGAACAAGATAAGGCTGTGTACTAATTAACGGGTAATTTACAATGTTTTTGATGCTGCTTTGTAGGACTTTTGGCGGTGTGTTTTTCTTCACTTTCTCGTGTCGCAGCCTGTTCCTCTCTTTATGACTCTTCAGGCGTTTCTTTTTCTTCTTCACAGGAGTTTGCTGTGGAGGAGAGCAGGAGCATGTGGTTAACAACAGAAGACATTCAAAACTGATTTTAACAAAGGAGCCGTTCACTGGATCCAAATGTGATATTAACCTTAGAAATAAAGTAAGGCTCTCATACGTAAAAACACTATTCCATGGGAGAGTAGATTGATGTCAGTATACCTCTGAATTGGCAGCTTGTAGCTGGTTCAGTAAATGAACTGGGAGTCCATCAGAATCTGAACTATCTGAACCACTGGTGCTGTGAGAGTAAACAGGAAATGTTCACATTTTATACCTCTCCCATGGGGATGTGGGTTTTGAAAGTGAATTTAAAATAATAATAATAAAATACTACATTACCTGGTTTCCAGGTCAGACACAGAGATGTTACAGTTAGTGCCCAAATCTTTTCCCAGCCTCTCTCTGACCTCCTTTCTCAACAACGCTCCCAGCTCTGTCAGACAGTAAGTGACCTGAGGTAAGAAGCACAGAGGAAACATAAAAAAATAACACAATACAATGCTCACATTTAAAGACCACAGTCACAAAAATCAAAAATTAAAAACCACTATTCAGCGAATTTATATTTTGGCGCACAAAACCATTTCTGGGACTAAAACAGCCCTCCAGTGATGGAAGGAGTCAGACTGCTGCTTTATCTCTCACCTTTGTTGGATCAGGGTCACAGTAGTCCAGCAGGGTGTCACAAAAGGAAAAGCCAATGGACTTCAGGTCTCCAGTTGTAAAATGTGTCCCTTTCCTGTTGCCTGACATTCAGACAGATGATATCAGATAGATATAAGAGACATGTAAGCGCACACACACACACACACACACACACACACATACGTTTGGAAAGTCTAAACTCACCCAGAGTGGAGCCTCCGAAGGAGGCCTCCATAGTGTAGCTGTTTTTGATGCCAAGTCTCCACATGGCGATACGTCCCGTTCCCTCTTTGCTCTTCTGCACCCGGAACTTACAACTCTTAAAGGAGAACTAAGGAAGAGGGTTATTTAGATGTTGTAGTTTAAATGTTGCACAAATGAACACCAAAAAAAAGATACTGCCTCTGAAATGTGGTGAATATGCTGCACAGATTGTATATGGTGTCCAGAATACTAGAGACTAGACTAAACTAATTAAAACAGGTTTACAAAAGGCCAAAAATAATAAAGAACTTGTGATTGTACTTCTAGCAGGTGAACAAAACTGTTGAGGTCTTCAGATGTTCCACTCTTTACCTTATTACTGGCATTCTTGCTCAGCATAAGTGGAAAGACTCTCTCATGGAGCTTCAGCGAACCATCACCTCTCTTGTTACAACCGTACATGAAGACGTTGTTTTTACGGTTGTGGCCGTGAAAGTCACAGTAAAGAATTACATCCGTTTCAGCCACCAGCCTGGGGAAAAGACAGCATAACATAACAGGTTTGTATGAAACTTCAAAGACCCTGGTTCAAGAAGCAGTCAGAGACATTTCTTTCTGTTTCTACTGATAACTAAGTAATAAGGGAAGATATTCCAGGAAAGAAAGTTAAGTCCATTGACTTTGACAACAAATAAAGTTCAGTAAAATGAGGTACCAAACTGTGAAACTACAGTAAACCTCAACCAAACGAACTGCTCACTGACATAAAGGATAAGAACTGATCATGTTCTGTTCTATGTAAGCTTCAAATTAATAAATAAAATAGACTTTGTAACATCTGACCTGCTTATTGTGAACATTAAATGGATAAACAGACACATCAGAAAGAGCAGAAAGACTTCGGAAAACACTAATTTTTTGAATTTCCATTAAATTGCGAAATGTATTTGTATTTGTATATATAATTATGTGTTTGTTTGTTCATGCATGTGTCCTGTCTTACCGTTCCACCATGTTTCGGGTGTGCCACACACAGGGAAAGAAATCCTTGAGCAACGTCTTGTAATTTCTGTTAAGGTCCCTGCCTGCCAGAGAGCAGCGGTAATTGCCCACTACTACACCATCTGGATTCAGCATCGGCACCACCTGCAGCACGGCAGATTCAAATGAGGAACTGTGTTGGATGTTTGTGTTTCATAAATCACCATACAGACGTATAACAAATTGGAACGTAATGATTGTGAAGATCAGACAGAGGTGACAGTTCGAGCTCGAGGTCCCTCACCTTAAAAACAAAAGTGTCCCTGAGTAGCTGAGCATCCTCTGAGTCCCCGAGCAGGAAGTCTAGGAACCCCTCCATCATCCAGGACGCGTTGGTCTCCCCGGGGTGCACTCTGGCCGTCACCACCACACTCTTCTTGGTCCTGGCCTCCGACCTCCGGACCCCCCGGGACGTTATTGTCAGCAAATATACGTCATTCCCAGCCAGGCTGTGGCACAGCACCCGCAGTGTGCAGTATGACGCAGTTGCTGGGTTGGAAGAAATGCGCTTCAGGTAGCTCTGCAGGTGTGAATAGGTGTAGGGGTAGCAGTGGGCCAGGTAGCAGGTGTCTGCGTCATAAGGGAACTGGAGAGTCCAGGTGAGCGAGTAGAGGGTGACCGGGTTGCTGCTGTTGTCCTTTGAATTCTAAATAGAGAGACGGTGGTTTTAAAGACCATTTTGTGCTGTTTGCTGTTCTGGTGTGCAACATGACAGACCACAGATGTTCATAATTCACTTACTACAGATCTCATACTTCATTTTACTGCCAAACATTTTATTAACAGTTATTTCCAGTTTATGTGAGTATAGAATGAAATTGAACTGGCAGAGAGTTTAAACTTGTCTTTCGCTGTTCCTTCTTTAGTTTTAAGTCTTATTTCATTGCCCGGTTCATTTACAACACTGCACTGTGGATAAGTTATTACTAGTATGTATAACTAGTGAATTATTTCCCTTTTGTTCCCTTTTTTCCCTTGCTTATGGCTGGAAGGACTCACTACTTGTGAGTAATACGCTGTATTCCTATGGGGATCCCTTTATCTGCACTACCATGCAGTGAAACCCAAATTTTTTGATGACTTAAAGGTGATTAAATGTTCTCTGTGACAAATCACGTATTTAAAACAAGTTCAAAATCTCTAAATGAAATGTTATTCTACACTTGCCTAAAAACGACAGATGCTGGGGAAGTAAATTACAGTGCAAGGACAAAAGCCCTCAGAAAGTTGACCTGCCTGATTGAAGTTGCGGTAGTATTTGATATTTGAGCCGGTGCGTTGCCATCCAACACCTTCATCCTTAGCAGCCCTCTCAGAGTAGAGGAGTGGTCTCATACCCAGAGAGTACAGGCTTCTGCTCTTCATCATGTTGATGACAGTGAAGCGGTAGGTCACTCCAGCCTTCATGTTCCTGACCCTGAAGTAAAACCACTGCGTGTGCTTTCTGGTGTACATGTCCGTGCACAGGGTGAGCTCGTAGTTAAAGACACCCCTGAACAAGAGAGAAATATGGAGGAGACAGAGACAGAGTAAGTTAACCCAGAGGTGAAAATAGAAATGAAACGGGTTATATAAGTTGTTAAGACTTACACTTGCACAGCCTTCTGCAGGTTCCCACTCTCGAAGCGTGACTCAAACTCAAGGGTGAGGTCTGTTTCATGGGAATCGTACATGGCACTCTTAGCGGGCCCACTGCTTCCTCCGACGCGGGAGAAGGTGAAGTAGGGACGCTTCGTGGCTTAAAAGAGTGACAACAGGAAAAGGGTGAATATCAAATGCTACATTTGTTTAAAAACACAGCTTTCAGTAAAAAATGTACTATCGATTTACTGAAGAATTAAGGAATTAGGTTTGCCCTCAATAAAATGCCCCTAAATCCAAACATATCACGTACTTTCAAAGGGGAAGCTGTGGCATGAACTAACACAAAATATTAGTTTCCTCCTATCATTATCTTATCTTTAGAAGAACTTTAATCATATAATAGGTAACATTTGTGCATTAAAATGTCTATAATCACTAGACCTATGTTATATATTTTATTGAATTGTGTACTAACATTATCCCAAATGTTTCCAAATGTTCAACACCTGAGAAATCTGTAATTTTATTCAGGTAACGGTAACGTTTTACGGTCGCCTGTTAATGGCGTCATATCCCCTTTGCACGTGTCTGCATTGTGGTTGCCTCCAAGAGTCGTTTGGTCGTTTTTAACTATATATTTGAACTGAATGAAGGATTTTAGTCACAGGACATCCTTTAGTTCACCGAACACATATTTGTTCATTGTTTTTTTGCAGTTTTAATCACCAGATCAGTTTGGTCTGGAGAGGAGGAAACCTCTGCAGATAATTTGGCTTCCGGTAAAAACCTCCTGAGCAATGAACAATGAAGGAATCTGTCTTTAACGATGGCAGTGGTGGTGAAGACAGCTCCCGTGTTTGCCCCCATAACGGCAGAAATGACGTTTAAGACCTGTTGGTAGAACACGAGAAAATGCTTCTTCAAAATGCCTTTGTCGTCACAAGTTACCATGGTCAGTGCAGTACACCACTCTCCCCTTCCCCTCTTCGGCTGGCATGGGCGTCCTCTCATATCCTGTGGGCTGGTAGAAAGGCTCTGGCTCTGCGGGGTCCCACTCTGCAACATTACGTGGTTAACATTACTGAAGACTGGATACGTTTTGCCAAAAGCATCTCCTCACAAGTTCGACTCCTTTGTGCTTCTCAGTAGCAGCTTAAATAAAACTTGTAATTACCTATGTGATGGATAGTGTCGCTGATAACCTCACACTCTATGGGCCAACGGGGGTGGGGGATCGATGGGAAGTTAACCAGCTCCAACGGTGCCCTGAGTCTCAAGGTAGGTCGATCGGTGTCAAAGTCTATGAGCAGCTGCCTGGTCCGCAGAGTCTGATTTAGGTTTAAAGATACTGAAAAGTCGACATAAATCACACCTTCAATAACTGCTCCTTCCCCCTCCTGCTCCTTACAGTGGTGTACAATAGATATGCATTTTTTATCAGGTCTGCCCCCCAGCTCTTACCTCACCTAGACCACACAAGCATGTCCATTTAAAAAGGGATTACGCTGCACCTAATTGCTTTAATCATCTCGCTGACAAAAGAGCTCCTGTTTAATGTTTAATGACGTCGCGTTAGGGAGGGGATGCCGTATATACGCTTTACTTTAGTGTCAGATCAGGTTAATACTGACTCAAAAACTCTTTCTTCCCCCTCTGCAATCAGACTCCTGAACACATCACATCAATGAACCACCTCGTCATTTACACCTGTACTTCTTGTTTACAGCTGCGCTCTTGCACAACTGTTTGTTTTTGTTTCATTGCACATCAGACACTTTTAAAATGACTGTAATATTAGTGTTTATTTTTATCTTTTTAACTTACTGTACTTATTGTAATATTGTCTTTTTTACTATTCTATTATTGGGTAATAATGTGTTTTTTTGTTACTTATTGTATTCTACTATTCAATTCAATTTTATTTGTATAGCGCCAATTCAGAACAGAAGTTATCTCAGGACACATTTTCAAATAGAGCAGGTTAGCACGAACTCCTTTATCACATTTGTACTTAATGCGTCGGTATCAGGGTGGACAGCAGAGGAAAACTTGCTTTCTTTTGTTGCATATGAAAATAAACATCTTGTAAACTTGAAACTACAGATCGTTGTGAACGTTATTTCGAATGGCTTCTTCCAGCAGCCTGTGTGAGAAAAGCTTACGCAGCCTCCTCCTCGCTAAACTCCTCCTCGTTGTCCTTAGAGTCACTGGCGTCCAGTTTGTCCAGCCGGTGGGTATTCCACCAGTTCCTGATCGCAGAGACGGCCATGGTTTTTGGGTGTTTTCTCTGCCTGATTTGGGGGGAAGAAATGTAAAGTCCCATCAATGTTTGTGTGTTAAAACTGAGTCAGACCATGTACAGCGGATTTATTTTTTTTTATTTTATTTCTATTTTTATTTTATTTATTTATTTTATCTATTTTACTTATTTTATCTATTTTATTTTATTTTATTTATTTTAATCTATTTTATTTATTTTATCTGATTTTATTTTTTTACTTATTTTATTCTATTTTATTCTATTTTTATTTTATTTTATTGCTTTATTATTTTACTGTGTGCCTCCATCTTTTTATTGCTGTTGCTTCTATTGTGTTATCTATTTATTCTGTATATCTTTTTGGTGCAGCACTTTGGAAACCTTGGTGTTTGTTGAAATCGTGCTATATAAATAAAGTGGATTGGATTAAGCTCGGCCCCTGTAATCTGGGTAATTCAGGGTAATTCAGAGCCAGTTTTTTGTCTTTTTGCCCCACAGAATATCACGTTTCTCTTCTTAGAAATGTGTAATGGAACAGATTATTTCATTATTCAGTGATGGACTTCTTACCAGATGTTTCTCTCAGTTTGAGGCATTACAGGCAGCTCATAGCTCAGCAGCACTGTCCCTGAATAAATAAACAAATAACATTTAGATTAAGGAAGATGTATTCATGACTGGTTAACTCAACTAACTAACCACTAACTTAACTAATGAACACACAAATGGATGTTTTACGGATGATCTGTACTTTTATTTCCCATTGTCTGACACATTTTGAACACCTTGAGTATATAAATCACTGCATTGTTCAGTAACAGCAGCTACAACTTCATCCTGCGTGTACAAAGAAAGTCTGAAACAATACTGAGTGAATTACTGGAGGCAAATAAAACAAGTTTGGACAAAACTTACGTTAAGTTGCAGAGGGGGGGGGGTTTCCTTGTCGCCCGTCTCTCTGTTTCTCCTGTCTGTCAGTCATATAAACCACTGACCTGTTGGTTGAACACTTATAACAATACTAACTTGGTTTTCTTCAACGAGTTGAAAAAAATCTTCCCGACTTTACGCGCCGTTGCCATGGAGCTGATGGAACAACAACATCGCGGTTGCCACGGAGACGCCGCAACATTCGTTCTAACGTGCAGGAAATTATTTGTCGTAAAAACCCGGAAAGTTTTTTATTTTCTTTTTGTGTTTGTTGTAATTTAATTTATTTTTTTACAATACACAGTCTTATAATGTATTGAATGTTGATATTTGTGTCTGATTATTGTCTTATTTTTTTATATATATATTTGTATTATTCATTTTATTATTATTTATTATTATTATTTTATTAAAATTTATTATAAAACATTTTTATTGTTTATAATGTATCTGTTTTTGTTGCCTATTATAATCTGACAACGAGGGTTCACCACTCAATGTATTCCCAAGAAGTCAATAAAAGCTTGAATGAATGAATGTATTTAATGACTATTATCTCAATAAAGTTTTAAAATAAACAATTTGTCATGAAAGTGGGGTCATGGCGTTAAAAGGTATTATGAATATAACTAATAACTAATTAATATAACTACTGATAACACTGCACTCTTACAATATTACGCTGTGTCTGTGATTCATTTACCATGACTATTACTCACCATTGTACTGGGCTTAGATTCAGATTCAGATGACTTTATTGTCCATTAAATTTGCATAAAATGGAAATTCATCTTTGGCACAGGCTTATGTCAACACACACTAAAACACGACAATGCATAACAGCAACACAGAAGTGGCAATGTAATGGAAGTGATGGACGTGTAAGCCTATATAACAATCACAACAAAAGCAGTAAAAATGTAAATTAAAAATCATTTTTTAACATGGATATTAAAAATAGGGAAAAGGAAAGTACAAGGGGCTAATTTTTAAAAAAGGTTTTTATTGAGGATGTTCACAGCTGTTAGAATAAAGAAGATTTTTTGCAACCATTCTTCCTGCTCCCTGGGACTGGAGCGAACACTGAAAACTTGGTGTTAAAGCTCCAGTTACCTGAGAAGAGCAAAACTTTATCTTCCTTTCTTGCAGATGTATTCAACATTGTCTTGAAAGCTGAGTTTATTGTCTGTTACTGTCCCGAGGCATTGGAAGTTGGTGACCTGCTCCACTTCCTGGCCCTTCATACTGATTGACGTGTAGGAACAATCGGCTCTCCTATTGCTCCTTAATTCACATTTCTTTAATCTTGGTGACATTAAAGTCGAGGAAGCGGTTGTTAAACCAGGAGACAAGGCTGTTGATGTGCTGACAGTAGGTGGCACTGTCCATATTGTGCAGGCAATCAGGACCACGTCGTTATTAAAACCAAGATGAGTGTAGTCTATTAAAAAAAATGTTTTTAATGCATAATAAAAAAATACAGCACATATAAAACAAAAGAATTAAGAGATGACTTTGGAAAAACAGTTTAATAACTTTTTACAAAATGTACAAGTTCAGTGATGTTCCCTCCCCTTCCAAAAACATGGCTTATCCCATTATACATTGTATGTACACAGTTGTAAAAATGTTCAATAAAATAGATAATCCCTCCAAACAAACTGTGGTGGTCCTCTATATGGGGTCTATACAAAACAGTGTTGAAGTATTTCTGATGAACTCGAGACATTTGGCACATTTACAATAATGGCTAAAAAAAGAAAAGAAAAAAGAAACTGACATTCAAACCCTTTCGGTGAATGGCCTGCCATGTAAGGGCCTCGAAATGTCTTCATCATGGCCAAAGAAAATGTAAAAGAAAGTCCACAGATCATTAAACAAAACTTAAGCAGGGGAAGGGCGACCTTTGTGGTAATGGTTGGAGTGGATTTTTTTAAAAAACGTTGTATTGGTCGAAGTAGGACCCAATCCAGATGTTACGTGTTATTCGCCACCTTCTTTTTCTTCAGTCGCTGCCGCCAGTCATCAGGAAGTGCCTCAAAGTTAGCATTCTTTGAAGCTTTTCCTCTGTAGAATTAATAATAACAGTTAGTAAAAAGGTTACCAAGATGGAGAAACAGAAGAAACTGGGAGAGAACTCAGTAGAACAGTGTAGCTTCATCCTTATATCGTCATCACAAAAAATAAACCTACGTCACGAACTGCTGTTGCTTCCACTCCTCGATACTCTTCTTATTCAGCTGATCTCGGTCCTCGTCACTGGAGCTGCTCTTCTCTTCCTCATCCAACTCCTTCTGGATGCTCTGCCACTTCTTCACCAGCGAAGGCATTTTGATCTTACTCTTCTTTGACTACAGAGACACAGGAGGACGAAAATTACCCTGCAGATTCTTTTGCATGTTGTATTTAATCACTGGATCACCTGGTTGGATGTAGATTTTACAAAAAGGTTTACACTGGAAACGTGATCTTCAGTACTAACCTTATCCTTTTTTGTTTTCTTGGTCTTGTCTGTGGCCACAGCTTTGGCTCCTGGAGGTTCACAGGGCGGCTGGGATGGTGGCAGTGGTGGTTGAGGTGGTAGTGCTGGGACAGGCGGGGGAGGAGGTTCACATGGGACCAAAGGGGCAACGACAGCCGGGACGCCCCAGTAGGCAGTTGCTGACATTATAGGAGCTGCAGACAAGGAGAAACCTTTATTAGGTAAATACTACTAATTATTGCAGTTACTTTGTTTGAAACTCCATCCCTACCTTGAGCACTGCCATAGTGAGGTGAGACAGGTACACTCAGTATAAAAACACACTTCTGACAAGTTCTGTCTTGTCTGCAAGGGTTCAGTGCTCAGGGTGGACACCATGATTGGGTACTAATCTTGTTTCAGGGGATGTTTTTTAATAATTTTTGTTCTTAATATGATTAATATATACTGCAAGTGCTGATGTGGTATATAATATATAATATTGTTTTACCTGCACTGGCAGCAGGCTGGGTGTAGAGAATGGGACTGCTGCCGATAGTAATGGCTTTATTCATCTGGCTGGCTTTGCGTTTCTGACCCTTCCCCAAGGGGCCCGACGACTCCACAATCTGTGTAAGAGACAGGAAATATAACCATCTGCTGTTATCTTTTATTCTGAATGTGCACATGTGGCATTATCAGGCACAACATTAACTTGATTACTGTCGTACCTTAATGCTAGCAGTGCCTGGAGGTAGAGGAGGCCTCCCACTGCCGTCTTCCTCGGTTCCAGGGGCCGGAGGCTCTGCGTCATTGTCATCATCCATCTCCATCTCCACCTCCATGATCTCGCTATCGCTGTCAGGAGGGGGAGGCGGTGGAGGTGGGGAGCCCGGGGGGAGAGGCGGAGGCGGCGGGTAGTTGGAAGGCGGAGGTGGGCTGTCAGGAAGGGGAGGTTGAGATGGGGACCAGAAAAATGGTGCACTGGGTTGAGGAGGCGCTGGTGGCGGGGGAGCAGTTGCAGATCCTGTTTAAAAAATAAAACACATAGTAAAGAAGAAATTTGGCAGGCTGGTACAAGGAGCAGCAACAGTACTAATGGACTGACCTGTGACCCCACCCGCAGATGCAGATGCTGCTTTGGTATCCCCCTGGCCGGAAGTCTGTGTCTGGCTACCTTGGCCGCCCTTTAGGTCCTCGTCCTCCTCTGTTGGGAAATCCCACTGGGAGGCACTGGTCCGGTCGTTCACATAGAAGTACCGCCTGTGCTCTCTAAAAAGTGGGACAACAGAGATAGAAGGCAAGAGTCTCAACTACTGGCCTAGCAACTGGCTGAGTTGCATGATACCCTGGGACAGTGGGGCAAGGGAGTGGACATAATGGCCACAGTAGGGGGTGGGGCAGGAGTGTTGGTATGGACAGCGACTTTAGCCATCCAAAAGAAGGGCCCAATTAGAGTGTGGTTATGGGTGTGGATAGGGAACCCACCTTGCTCTCAAAAACAAAGAAAGCAAAACAAATCATCTCAAGGTCCTGAAAGTAGCATTCAGCTGCTCACACCATGGTTGTCACATTTGTTCCGTTTTAGACAACCATTTCCTCCCAGACACAGGAAGACGCCAGGGAGGAAGCATCATCATCATCATCATCATTATCATCATCATCATCATCACCACAATCAACAACCATTAGGTCAGAAAATAACAAGCACACAAGTCAACTCGTTTTACATCAGAAAGAACAAAATAAAATCAGGAAGACATATGAAATAGAGTAGGTCTGACCTGCTGGATTCCCGTCATTGCTCCATCTTCACCTTTTATTTGATGCGTGACACTCCTCGCTTCCAGGGCATCACTCTGTCTGCATTGCATTCTGGGTGTTGGAGTCCTGTAAAGTGCAAAGCTCTCCCACGCAACCAACCTTCCTAACATACCTCCCCCTCCCAATTTTTTCCACTGACTGGACCCATAATCAGTCTACAAATGCCCTTACAACAAAAGGGCTTAAGAGTCTGTGTTATACGGACTGGGAGTCCTCTCTGTGGCAGGTTTATTTAACAGGAAGCAGGCTGGCCCAGAGTGGATGCTCCCTTACCAGTACGTGCAAGGCAGAGTGCCAGGATTGCATCACAGAAACCTGAAGAGTCTGTTTCTGTTAAGTATTCTGATCCTCTCGGACTGGTTAAGCTTCTCCCCAAGTCATGTTACAAAGTCTGCAACCTCGGCACTGAGGGGGTTGTAGTCACACGGTAAGATTTGTTTGGGGGGGACGAGGGAGTTTAGAGATGTGAAAGGTAAGGAACGCGTACCTGTCCCAGTGGCAGGACCAGCCTTTAGGGGTGGCGTTAAGTTCGTAATATTTTATGTGTTCAGCAGCTTCCTGCAGCCTGCGGCGAAGATAGACCCCGTTCAGAGCGCCCTCCCTCCAGTCAGAAATCCGAGTCTGGAAAAAAAAAATATCAAAAGAGAAAAGGGGAGAAACATGAGTTAAAAGCCCAGAAAGTAGAGGTAAAGGGATGAAGAGACAGGTGACAAAAACAGAAGAGCCACAAGATAAATGAGAGAAAGAGTAATTACAGTGAGTTTCCAGAATGACACAGTGTGATGGATCATTATGAGAATTTTAAATATTAAGTACTACTACATCACTGTGTGCAAAATGATATGAAACTGAATTAAGCATTTAATATTTTACAAGTCCTACGGGGATATAGCTACATCTGGGAGCTAGGATAACATTGCTAAGAAGTGGAACTATTATCCTCTCACCTCAGTTTGTAGCAGAAGTAACTGAAAGTTTGAGATCGCCTTTTTGTTTATCCCCAGGAACTCCATCTTGCTGGTTAAGGTGTTAGCCAGTTGTCCAATCTGAAACTACATGTTTTTAGCGTCAAAAACATAAAAGGTGCTTACAAGTGCATGTCACAATTACTATGGTTAGTAAGAGTAACCTTGTTACCTTGAGCTCAGGCGTTTCCACTTCTTCTTTAACCGGGGGTTTTGAAAGAGTTTTCTCCTCCGAACTGTCCGTTTCCTTGTCTTCTCCTTCCACAACACTTTCTAGGACTTTAGCAGGTGCTACAGGACACAAGAGAGGCATTTAAGTATGCATTTTTGGCTAAAGGCAGTTCCAAAAGCAGGATTTTTTAATGTATTTTCACCCTCTCCTGTCATGCAGTTGCACATGTAGTTACTTGGACTCACCTGTCTCGGTGTTGTCCTGCAGGTCTGAGCCTCGGCTGTTGGAGTCGGGGCTGGCAGCACATGGGAAGGCAGTCTTCCATCGGTTCTTCTTCAGGGGAACACCGCGAGAACCAGAGGCTTCTTGGCTTGTCTCAGAACAAGGACTGGAGCCCCCTACACTCCCATCACCCTCCTCCAGCGCTCGTAGCTCAGCCTAAGAATCAGACAACAGGTTAGAGCTACTTCATTTAGAAATACTGCTGCATTAAAACAGCATTAAAGTCATTCCTGCCAGGAAATCATAACTGCACACTGAAAAACACCTTTTTCCTCTCCAGCGCTAGTTCCAGTTCCACTGTGTCCTCCTCTGTTTCCTCAGCATCCGAGTTGTCTCCCGATTGTTTCTTTGTGCCAGGTTCCTTCTGGACCGCGGGGACTGCGTCAGGTTCCTGCAGGGGGGCAGCGGGGGATCCTGCAGGGCGGATACCTTCTCCATCCGAATCCAAACTGTTCTCAGGCTCATCCAACCCTTTAAGCAGCCTTTTTCTCCATTTTTCTTCTGCCTCTTTCACCTCAGAGGGGATCAGAGGACCGAGCAGAGATGCAGCCACTCCACGGCGGTCCTCCTCTTCGCTCGTGAGGCCTACAACACTCTCAATTACCTCCTGGAAAAACAAAACACGAGGGCGATATATCAAATATCAGAGTAAGAATCTAGTTGATCCACATTTGTGTTGGACTTCAATAAAACTTGCCTTCACTTTGGTCTCTTTCATTAATGTCGGTGCTGCAGTGGATGCAGCGCTTTCCTCAGTGGGATAACCTGCATGCACTGTCCCGTTGCCATTGACACTAGAGCTATAAAGAAAAATACAAAAAACACATCATACACGTGTACAGCAGTAATGCACGTATTGATCCTACCTCATTGACTGTTAAGTCCCGCAGTTATTATTGTACAACATATGTGAAAATCAGTAAACATATTTGAATAATAACTGTACTTTAAAGATCTCTCCCGGACCCAAACACAATACTACTCTATTCACACGCAACCAGCAGAATCACATCTGCCTTCAACCACCTCAAAAACAATGCAAGCGATTAAGATTTAGATTATGTAGGTACAGTGATTTTATCTTAATGCTTTCTCTCTGCCAGTTCCTCCTACCTGTTGGCATACTGCCCCAGGCTTTGCACTTGATCAGCTAGATAGTGTGGCAGCTCCCAGGATACTTCGTTGGTCAGAGTGTTCCAGTAGTAGTAGCAGCCCGAGTTGTCGTCCCATACCTCCTGCCAGTCTCCCATCTCTACGCCCACTGCAAAAAAAAAACATATACATGAGATACACAGCATCAGGACATGCACACTTGATCTCAAAGGCATTTTTCCTTTATTTTCTCATGTTTTGGTGTCAAAATGACACATGGGGACAACAAGTTTTGAATTTGGTGCAGTACTGAGTGCGACTGATGCAGTCTTAAAAAGGACTACAAGGTAATTCTAGCAAAACCGTCAAAATATGTCCATCAAAAGTGCTTGTTTCTGCCACTGACCAGCTAAGATTAAAAATGTTTAATTTCTCTGAAGACAATAAAGAGGAATTAAACATTTTACGTCCCTTCTGCCTGAGCCGCTGTGTTTCTGACCAACAATTCAATTCCCATTAGTCTCTTTGACCAGGTTAACTCTTAAATAACCCTACAGATATTTACCTCCGGCTAGTGAGTACTGAGTGTCGTACTCAAACTCTGTGCTCTGTTGACTCTGTTCTCCACCGGCAGCGGGTTGCTGAGCATTGGCCTCAGGTCTGGGAGGGGCGGTAGTCGGGACTGAAGAATGAGGTGCTGCATCGTCTGAACTTGGCTGAGTGGTGATTGCATCAATCTCCTGTGGTGGGGAAAAAAGAAACAGAGATTTAAATATTTTTGACATAAACACTAGAAATATATAATTTATTGATGGAAAACTAGTCTCAAGTTAGAAACTTACACAAATTGAACATAAATACTAAAAGCTGAAACATGAAGTCTACTTTGTACCAGCCACAATTATCCACAATGGATTGGGCCCACAGATCTAATTATAATCTCTCCTTTCAGTATTTTGTAATATTCCTTTTATAAAGAACTTTGTAGACTTCTCATTTTAGTATAACCTTCTGTAATTTTCACTACAAGTCAAGTGATATGAAGGACAGAGACCCTCCTTTTATCAACTACTTGTTGTACATGTACCATTTCCTTTCAAACACACAGAACTGGACCAGGAACATGCATTTCTGTACAGTTCTGAGCCTGATACGGTAAATAGAATATAAATAATACTTTATATTTTATCTTTTATTTTATTTTTAATTCTATTCCCTAAGGTCAGGGTTTTACATTTTATTTAATGTACGTTTAATTGTATGTTTTGTATTTTTGTATGCTACTGACTGGATACTTGAATTCGCGATAAAAGAAAAAATAAAGTATCTATCTATCTATCTATCTATCAGGTTAACACTGTTAGGTGTTGCGAACCTTAACCATACATAAATGTTATGCAGGAGCGTACAGCCTCAACCGCACCACCAATAGGTATAAATTAACTTATAATAACTTACTTCTTTTGACAGGAACGAGCTCAACATACATGTTAAATGACCTGCACTTATAAAGCACCTTTCTAGTCTTCTGACACACTACAGGTCAAATACACACACACACACACACACACACACACACACACACTGAAGACACAGGCCGTCTAAAGAAACTCATCAGAAACTGAAATCACACACACATTCGTAAACCGATGGCACAGCATTGGGAGACATTTGGGGCTTCGGTATCTTGCTCAAAGACACTTCTACATAGAGCTGGAGGGGCTGGGGATCGAACCGGCAACCTTCCGATTAGCGGACGAGCCACAGCCACAACCCAGTGACCAGAACTGAGGACTAAAACACAAGTTATACCCACAGCCATGAAATTGGCCAACGTGCTGTCAATATCAGTCGACTGGTTACGTTGAGAATTTGCAGCTGAAAGAGCATCTCCGGCTTCCTCATCATCGCTGTCCTCGTAGGCTCCAAGCAAAGACAGCCCCTCTGGAAGAAAGAGAGAGACAATAAATAACTTTTTATCAATTAAAATACAATGTTTTGTTTTCCATCGTTTTGAGAGACACTTCCACACACTTTACCTGTGGCCTTTACTGCAGGAGCCTTCATGTTTGTGCGTATTGCTCTCACGAATTTGGGGCCATCGCCTTCCTGTTCATCTGTGAAATGAAAACAAATGAAAAAGGACAAAAGGTTTTTTTGTTTAAAAGTTGAGTTTCAGGAGTTGTTGCAGCAAAAAACTACTGTCAGCATCAACCACACGCTGTCTAACCTTTAGAAGTTGAAGATAGTGACCGACACACACACACAGGTGGAGATAAAGAAGGTCAAATGTAATGCTGTGTGTGTGTTTGTCGGTGAACTGCTGCAGTCTTTTCTCATAAACCTGTTTATGGCAGATTTACAAGCACTAGCTTAGCACGCTAGCTCGCAGCTTCTGGTCGCTCCGATAAAAGCAACAAATAAAATAAAATGATTTATTTTCACGAAGCACAGCTGTCGTTTAGCTTTCTTTTTTTTCTTTTTTTAGCAGATATGCATCGTTAGGTTCAGTGTTAACCAGCTCGTCGGGCTGAAAGTCTCCACATGAACACATTTATGGGCCTCGAGTATTTAGCATCCAGCTAATCTCACGGCTAACAAAGTACCGTCGGATCCCGAGGGCGCTTCTTCCCTCTCCCCGGTGTTCCCGCCGCGGAGCCCGGGAGGAGACAGCTGTAGGATCGTCCTCCGACCGACCGCTCCTCCGGTGAGGCGGCTTTTCTTCCCCATGTCTGTGTGTCCGTCTGTCGGCCTGCTCCCTTCACTGGCGACGGTGATGCAGCTCCGCTTCTTCTTCAGGAGAGCGGTGACGATGGGAACCGAGTCTATTGAACGGCTCTTTAACGTGAACGATGGGAACCGAGTCTATTGAACGATGG